CAATAAAAATGCCGTATACCGCCATACAAATTGTTACCCGTTCAATGATCCCATCATAAAACTGGAGTCGATGATCATGTTAAAAACATGTGATTGACCACAAACTCTGACTTAATGGTGTTAAAAATCTTGTATAACCGTTCCTGACATATGACAATATTAATTGGGTGCAAGTGTAGTATTCAAAAACCTCGTGTGTGAGTATTTAGTCCTTCTGAATAACTACTTTGTGTATTTTTTTCTACCGCTAAGACTTGTTTGTCGTTCAGACCGACAAATTACGTAAAATTGCAGATTATAATAAACGAACTTTTCCTAAATTTACTGACTAAATTTTAAAACCCAAATGGTTATATATGTTGACAATAGCCGCCGGGGTAAGAACGTTTGATGGCACTCGTTTTGGAAAAAAACCCACTAATTGCCGTCATTGATTTTACCCACTTTCGTCATTGTTTTGCCTTTCTGCTGTCTGTGGATCATTTTACCTCACAAATTACCCGATTAATGGAGAATATGCAAAAAATACAGCGAAACCACGCACATACACTAAACACAAGTTAGGAACCGTAATATTATATAATAATAATAGAAAAACAACATGTTTTCCGGGCTTTGCAATATGCATGTCGGATGCGTTCAGGAATGAAACAATTGATCAGCAAAGTCTATCAAATTATAACGATGAAAAACAAAATTAAAATGACTTTCTGAGACCAATACTAGAAGAAAATTCGCAGTCGGATTTTGAGAAAATTAATTCATAGGACTTCGATGCGATGGGCTGTGTTCCTATTGTTAACGTGGGCCCGCAATGCTCATTCATATTTCCAGTGTCATTGTGAAGCGAGCGGCCATATTGAAAAAAAAAATCATATACTGATTCCTATGATTTTTAAAAAATAACGCCTTTTGTGGTCTCGGCATTTGCATTCGATTCATGTAAAAATGCTACCGTGATGAAAGAGACTGATTCTCTCTTTTTTCACTGATATTTTCTATAGTTTTGAATGGTTAATGTTTTCACACTCCTCCCAAGCGTGAATTGTAATGGGCGAATTAAGACGACGCGAAAGTGGATATTGGAGAGAGGGTGCCAGCTTTCGGGATTGGCGACACTGAAATATATCTCAGTAAGTCCGTATACGTGTGCATTTAATAAAGCAGCTCAGGACATTTTCTGAGAGCACATTTTGGAATTAGCTGCATCGCACAACCCACTCTTTTTAAGAGGTTCGCCTAAGAGCCCAAACACCCTCGAATACCGCTAAAATTGTTTTAAATTCAGAATATTATAGGCACCGTAGTTTTTTTTTTCGAGTTTGCTGGGGAGATTAAAAAAAAAACTTTGATTGCGATAAAGAAACGTGCTGTACTCCGGAGGCGAAATTTATCAAATGTCCCCAAGAAAAAAAGCAAACTGATTACACGAGCTTCTAAGCTGTCTGTCCATTTCAACAGCATGTTCCCCTTTTCATTCAAGCTACTAATTTCCCCCTGTATACAATATATACTTAGCAACCCCTCCCCCCACCGCAGCTGCCTAATTTCGACTTCTGCCGTCTATGACTCCGCCCGTGGACGTTTATCGACTTTACGCATGCTGCAAATTATCCAGAGTTGCGCCGATGGGTGTTATGTATCATGCTTTTACGATATCCGTGCGATAATCTCTTCTTAAATCTCCCTCGAGCAAGCTAAGGTTTAAACCCTTAGAATACCGGTTCGGCGTTCATTTAAACTGGTTTTAACATTATTTTTGTGTGTGTGTTAAGCTATATCTCAATTCAACTTGTTCGTGCTATAATATTACCACTACCGGGAACGTTTACGGGTGTATCCTATCTAAGCACTTGTTAACACGACTTGATTTATATACACGCTATCTAATTGGTGGGCCAGCCTTCCAAAACATCACACATAATTGCCTAAACACACATTCACACAAACAACATCACCGGGCAGTTACTTTTGTTGTAGCGTTAACGCAAAGCGATGGTTGTTAGATATTTTTACAAAAAATAAATGCAATGTATTGCGTTCGAGAAGGACGTCCTTTACGAAGAAGACCGCTACACGTTTCTCGTGAGGTATCCACACCAATATAACAACTAAAATAACAAACACACAAATAAACAGACGAGCAGCGACTCCGACGCCCTGCCTATAGCTCGCGATTACTACCACCGACTGAGGCAACTAACATGTTTGTCAAATGGCTGGCGTTGTGATGGAACACGAAAGCCATGTACTGTGGGACCAGTTGCCTAATACGGAA